TCAGTTCACAATAAACACTTAAAGAAGAAAAACAATCTGGTGGTGGTGTTGGGGATACTTAGTTGCTCAGGGCAGTGGCTCTTCACCACCACGAGGGGAAGCAGAGTTCAGCATTTTATCAATGGGCAGAGCTGACCAGTGCCCTAGGACGGATGGCCTTCAGTTGCTGAACGCTCTAGGCTCTTCCTGGGTTCTTCCATCTCTGGACACTTGATGTTCTGACATCTTAGAACCTAAGCTACCTCCGTGGGGCTCTCAACCCAAGTGCCTGGTTTTCAAGAGCAGTTTTAGAGGGGCTAGACCCAAGTGATGATACTGGTGGTTGATTCTAAAGCCCCCGTGATGAGCCGGCTCAGGCACCCACACCTTTATCTCACCGAATACCCCTTCAAATAGCCTTATGGAAAAATGCTGCAAAAGACTTGAAAGTGTTAAAAGTGCAAAGATGTCACTTTGAGGACTAATGTGTACCTGACTCGAGACGTGGCAACAATGGATTCAAACCTAATAATAACTGTGTGGACGGCGCAGGACCAGACAGCGTTGTTTTGTTGTGCATAAGGCTGCTCTGAGTGGGAACCGGGTTGACAGCACTTCACAGCAACAGCGAAGACTGGAGAGGAATCGATGCATTTGAATTATGGTGTTGGCAAAGAATTCTGACTACATCATGGCTACCGGAAGAATGAACCAATTCGTTTTGGAAAAAGTACGGTTAGATTACTCCTTGGAAGTGAGGACAGCAAGACTTCATCTCTCATACTTTGAATGTGTTATTAGGAAGGGCCCAGTCCCTGGAAAATGACATCATTATTGCCAAAGTAGAGAGTCAGCAAAAAAGAGGAAGACCCCAAAGAGACGGATGGACACAAGTGGCAGCAGTAATGGGCTCAGACAGGACAATGAATGTGAGCATGGTGCAGGACTGGGCAGGGCTTTGTCCTGTTGTGTGTGGGGTAGCTATGAGTTAGGGCCTTTGGGAATCATCTTTAGTCCTGTGTTGTGTACATGAAGGGCTGGGAAGCTCAGAGAGCTGGAAGGACTGTCCCCAGAAGAAGGAGACACGAAGAAGCAGAGATGAAATGAAAACCTTGGCTGCCAGGCTCCGAGGCCCATGCATTTAACTGCAACAATGTGCTGTTTTTCAAATGAGTGTGTCTGTCCTCAAAGAAGCCCTCTGAAGGGGCCCACGGGACAATCACCCCATTGATCCCATTGTTCAAAGCTGCTTGGGAACCACTTCAGTCTAGTACTCTCCTTGGAGAGTACTAGAATAAACTTGTGTTTGTTCTTTGGGGATGGGTTTGGCTTCTATATTTAAAAAGGCCACCGTATTTGTGGCCAAGTGCACCAAGCTGGAGAAGTGGAGTGTTTGTGGTCTGCTGGAGTGTCTCATCAATGGGTTCTAGAAAGATCTGCAGAGAGGCTGAGCTCACTGGGCTCTGGGTGGGGCTCCCCAGCTCAGACAACAGAACTAAGACCTGCCTCTGATACTTGGAACTGCAACCCAGGCTTGTCCATTCTGGCTGTTGCACCTGGGGAAACATACTAAACCTCTCTGAGCCTCAGTTTTTCACATCTGCCCCCACGTGATGATGTATGATGTGGTAGGGGGTGGATGTGGTTCTTGTTGCTACTTTTGACGGGGCCACATGTTAGTCAGAAAGGGTAATGACTTCACAAGCATGAATCTTAGCTTCTCTATCATTGTTGTTGTTAAGTACCATCGAGTCGATTCCAACCCATAGTGACCCTGTATAGGTATTTCCTATACCTATATAGATATTTCTGAGGAGTGGCTGGTGAGCTTGAACCACTGACCTTGCAGTTCAAATGGCTTTGCAGTCTGGCTCATTAACCTACAGCACCACACCAGGACTCCACCATGCTAACCTTTATTTTGTCTAATACCTGTTCAAAGGTGCTTTGGTAGCATAATGGTTACGAGTAGGGCTGATAACCTCAAGGTCGGCAGTTTGAAACTACCAGCCATTCTGAGGGAGAAAGATGAGGATTTCTGCTCCCGTAAAGATTTACAGCCTCAGAAACTCTCCGCTACGAGTCGGAATCGACTCCACGGCACACCACCACTGCCATCACTTCCATGTCTGTCCAGAGTGATTCCCTTTTCCAATGACCCTTTCATTCTTTCAATAAATACCTGCAGCATGTCCATGTACCAGGTATTGGGGATACAGCCATCATCAATGTCCTTGCCTTCGTGGACCCTAGTTTTCAGAGTAAATAAACCCATCCCTACTCAACCCCAATTCAAACCTACAGGCAAGGTCTCAGGGCCAGGCCTGTGGTCAGTTGGGCTTTCTGCTGTGACAACTACGGTCCTGAACCTTCTGTATGCCATCTCCACAGGACTGTCTGCCTCCAAGTTGCTATGGAAACCATAGTCCAGTGATGGGCTCCTTCTGAGCAATCAGACCAATGATCAGGAGGGGATGCGGGCTTTCTTAGCTCATCGTGGAGCAGCTTCTGTAGTAGGACGGCCCTGGGCATAGACACTCTTCTACCAGTGACTCTGCCAAGGCCGGGAGCCCCCGCATGGCCTTAGTGTGAGATACTTCAAGCTCTTGAGATATCTGGGTATTAGATTCTGCACTGGGAGGGCTTGCTCATCAAAAGGGTGGTGTTCAGCCAATGACGGTAGATTAATAATGTGTTCTAAAGAAGGTTCCCACCACTTGTCTGTCTGTTTGTCCTACTGTGACGGCGTACCCACCACTTGTCTGTCCGTTTGTCCTACTGTGACAGTGAACCCACCACTTGTCTGTCTGTTTGTCCTACTGTGACGGCGTACCCACCACTTGTCTGTCCGTTTGTCCTACTGTGACAGTGAACCCACCACTTGTCTGTCTGTCTGTCCTACTGTAACTGCATATCCACCACCTGTCTGTCTGTAGTATTGTGGTGGTTTCTGTGTTCCTAGGATACAGGAAGTCACCTGGTGTTCCAAGCACCAGCAGGGAGGGTCACCCATGGAGCACAGGTTTGAGAGGAGCTTCTAGACAGAGACAGTCAGAAGAAAGGCCTGGTGCTCTGTTTCTGAAAGTCAGCCAATGAAAACCCTGTGAACCCCAACGGAATGTTGTCCGATAGAGTGCTAGAAGGCGAGCCCACTCGGTTGGAGGATGCTACGCAGTAACCACAACCATGGACTCAGACATACCTATGATCCTGAAGTGGACACAGGACCGGGTGGTGTTTTGTGGCCATGGGTCAGAGCTGACTCGATGGTACCCAATAACAACAGGGGTTATGGGCAGCCACCCAGAGCATCATGGGGGCCTTTGCTGTCATATCTTTGCCCTCTCCACGGATGACTCAACAGGCCCCATACAATAAGCTTTATAAGAAGTGGGGACTTTAAGTTTGAATCTAAACTCTCGTCACCATCTCTGGGGAAAAGAAACAGAAATCATGCTTGAAGGGACCCAGGCCTCTGTGCATTGGCCATGTGAGTTTCTGGTATCCATGTGGCTGCTAAGAGACCCCTGAGTGAAGCGCTTTACTAGTAACTGAAAAGTGGCTGCTCAAACCCACCCAGAAGTGCCTCGGAAGATAGGCCTGGTGATCCACTTCTGATGGGACCCAGCCTTGAAATTGCTATGAAACAGTTCTACTCTGCTCATGTGGGGTTACTATGACTCAGAACCAACCCCATAGCACATAATACCAACACGTGTCTGCAAAGAGTTAAACATGCACAAAAATAGTGGGGTGGTTCATAGCGGCTTCACATCCCCCTACTGTGTCCCCACATAAACGGCGCGAAGTTGGGGTCTCTTTTCCTGCCAGCTTAGGACCAGCCTCGAGCCCAGGAGTAACCCCGAAGCCAAGCACAGCAGTAGCATGGGAGAGATCCACAATCCAGAGCCCCATGACCGGATTCCAGACTTCCTGCCACCTCCCACCCAGGTAAGAGCCTGTTCCCTCCCAGGACTGGGCAGAAAAGTCCAGGGTACGGGCCACAGTAGCCTTCAGGGCTTCTTCTGGGACAACCACTAGGTTTGGCCAGGCTGGGAGGGGAGGCTCAGGGTGGGCAGTGGTAAAATCGCACCATTGGAATGTCCTCAGCCTCCTCTGCCTTGCATGGCCTAGGGCAGCGTGTCCCTGCATGACCCACACCAGCTCTGCTTTCTCCAGCTAGAAGAGCTCTTGATAGAGGAATTGATGTTTAGAGAGTGGTTACTGCGTGCCAGGCCCTTCTGTGTATGTGCGAACCCCGCCCCATCTGAGATGGAGAAACTGAGGCTCACAACAGTCACACAGTCCAGCCAGGACCCTCAGTTCATCAGCAGCAGAACCTGGATTCACCTCCAAAGCAGTTTAACACCTACTTCCCACCTGGGCTTCCAGGACACTCTGCCCTTTAAAGAGCTCATTCTGACCCAAGTACCGTATTTTTGGCACATAACACACCCACACAAATATTGCAAGAATTCATAAAACACGCACAGGAAACTAACATGCGAGGGGAGGGGGTTGGGTAGTTTTCAAAAACTAAACAAAATGTAATGTACCCATTACATTTTCAAAGGCAGTAGCTAAATTGAGCAATTCTCTAGTACTCTGGTCTAGCTACCCACCTGGGCTTACTTAGCCCTCTCTTTGCCCCTGGATTTCTCCCTCTGTAGGCCACAGCATGGGGAGACCCCTGTATGTCTTGAAGACCTCACTCTTCAGAGAATCTCACATGATCGTGGCCCAGGGACCCCACCAGCATTGGGCACAAGCTGCGAGCAGAACTTTAAGAGATAGAAGCTGTTTATACATAGGACTGATTAGTAGTTCTGTTCGTGCCCCCTCCTTGCCCCCCAGTCTTTATAGCCTCCAGGCCTGCAGGGAAGTAGGTGAGAGACCATTGGTCCTCACCGACAGAGAGCCTTCACCCATCATTGCCCACCTGCAGGGCACACAGCCCTCTAGCCCTCACCTGAACTTCCTGTGTAGGACACCTCCCTCACACAGCCCTCCTAGCTCCTCACCTGAGAGTCGGAGATTTCCGAGGGTTTCTCTGTCAGGCTGCTGCTCTCGGCCGGGATCAGATCATTGTACTTGGTGACATCCTCATCTGAGTAGTGCAGGCTGCCTGGGCTGGGCCTCGGAGGAGACCTGGGTTAGCGGTAGGGGACAGTGAGGATGGGAGAGGGACTCTCTCGGGGTAGCCCTCTGGCCAAGAGCCCCACTGTGGGGCCTGAACTCCCCTGAGCCTGGAAGGAAGGACAAGGACTCTGGGTGGACAGAGGAGCCAGTAAGCAGGTGACCCGAAGTAGCCGCTCCACTCTATGTGGCCCCCACTTCCTGTGTCTGCTCTTGGGGAGCCTTGCCTGCAGGTCAGGAAGGCTCAGCCTCTAGGGAAAAGTGGGGAGCATGATGATTTTCAAGTTGTGGTTCCAAGAGCACCTCGCTGGAACTTGGTACTGACTGTGTGTCCCCCACCACATGCTCAGACTTTAGGTGAAGGCTGGCTACGTGCCCTATAGACAAACTCCCCAGGTGATATGTGAAGAGAAGAGAGAACCACTTCCTCCTTGCCTGCTAGAGACCAGACACGCTCTGGGAGGCTAAGTCATGCCCTGGCATCTCCCAGGGAGCCCTGAGCTGAGTCACTGAACAAAGATGCACACAGGGCAGCCCGGGCTGTGTCCTCTCCTCCTGGGGTTCCCTGAGTCGTGCACGACTCTACTGCATGTGTCTTTCAGAAGAGGGTGAAAAGGGCCAACCCAGCCAGGGTCTGATGTGCCAGGATCTGCACAAGTGGTGTTCCAATTCTGGGGCCAGGGATGTGTCACCAGCAACCCACCTGCCACCAACTAAACCAAAAGACACACACTGATTTTACTCTCATCAGCAAGGCCACGTCCCTACAAATTATACTTAAATGAACTGAAACCATGAGGAGGCCTTAAGAGGAGAGGGGAACGGGATGTAGGCTAACTTAGGAGGTGGGGTGGGGGCAGTGACTGGGCATCACTTGTGGGGGCAACAACCAGCAGCGTCTCCTTTATTCATCGGCAGCTGCGGGAGACCATTTAGCAGTTTAGAACATAGCCGCCATTTTTGGGGATCTGCCTTTGGCCTGGCGGGGTCCCAGGTTCAGCTGGGAGCCCGGGGTGGTGTGGGTGATCTGGGGGTACCACTGTCTATCACAGTGAGGTAGGCGGTGTAACTGTGGGTATGAGAGCAGGCAGGGGCAGGGGCACGGTGAGGCCATTCTGAAGGCCCCTTGTTGCATGTGACAGGGCCCGGGAGCCAGCCTGGCGGGGTTGCTGTGGTCGGTCAATGAGGCTGGGCCCTTGCAGAGGCCTCAAACAGTCCTTTCTTTGGAGGACTGGCGTTTGGCCGGGGATGAGAGCTCAGCCTGGCGGGCCTGTATTGCTGCCCCCTCCCTCCTGCCGCCTGGTGAACACACACATCGCTTCTCTGCACCAGAAACAGAAGTGCTTTGTGTGCTGGGCCTGGGAGAGGCCGGCCCCCTGCACGCCTCCTCAGACGAGGCCTGAATGCTAACAGGCACTGAGGCTGAAGTCAGAGCCCCTTCCACATAATCCTGGTCTCCCTTGAGCCCCTGGAATGTAAAAACTACCATGTGACATCAGGTGAAGGTCAGGTGGGCCCTGGCAGCTGCTCTGTTCTTGGAAATGGGCAGCCTGGCCAGTCACGGGGTGAACCGAAGGCTTGTTCCTTCCTCTCAGCTGCTTTCAGATGCTGCCCTTTGAGGGTGATGCAGAGAGTGGAGAGGAATTGTTCCAGAATACAGATCAGGGCGGCCCTGGGGGTGGGGGCAGTTTCTACACTTGCAGAATGCCCTTTAAGCCCTGGGTAAGGAGGGGGAGGTTGGAGTTAGGTTAGGTTAGGATGGAACCTTACTCGGGGCCTGCCCCATCCTCCTTGATGGGTTCTTCCATCTTGCCTTTGAAACAGGTGACCATCCGGGTTGTAGTGCTGTGGCCAGGGCCAGCTGGCTTCAACCAGCAGTCCACTGATTGTACCTACTTCCTAGTGACTAGCCCTGGGCAGTGACGTACAAGCTCCTGGTGAGACCACCTGAGCCCTTCTGTGTCTTTCTGCTGACCCTGAACTTGAAAACCATTTCCCAGGATGCTGAAGATCAAGTGAGTGAATGAGCGTTACCTACTCCATGGCCTTCCCTTGTTGTTAAGTGCCATCGAGTTAGGTCCCACTCACAGCCACACTGTAGAGGGTTTCCAAGGTATGGCTGTTGAGTTTGAACCGCTGACCTTGTGGTTCAAACCGACCTTGCAATCTAGTGGTTTATCCCACAGCACCACACCAGGACTCTCTCTTTCTCTCCCCCCCCCACACACACACACACACACACACACACACACACACACACACACACACATAGCCATCCTGTATAGGGTTTCCAAGGAGCAGCTGGTAAGTTTGAACTGCCGACTTTGTGGTTCAAACCGACTTTTCAATCCAATGCTTTATCCCACAGCACCACACCAGGACTCCCCTAGCGTTCTCCAAACCCGGGCACTGCTGGACCCGGCCCCAAAGCCGCCATCCTCCCCCACAGGGGCCCTATTACCTGGTGTATAGGCCGTTCTTTCTGCAGAAGGAGTTCTTGACGGAGAGCCGGCGGTTGTTGAGTTCCAGGGCAGGGAAGCTGCTTTCATCCAAGCTGAGCATCTCGCCGTGGCCTAGCGCACCAGACTTGGCATTGTTGCCTGAGCAGAGGAATTGTGAGCCAGTCATTCCCTTCCATTCCTTTAGTGGCTCCTAGCCCTCACCTCACCCCTCTACCTGGCCGGATGGCCTCCTTTTTCTTGTGGTACAGTTGAGCCCTAAACTGGAGCTTGAGATTGTGTGTGGATCCCACCATCAGAGCAGGTGTATTCCCAGAAGAGAAAGGACCCCCACTTGGGCAAAGGTGCTCACCCGAATCGGTCTTCTTGGTGTACTTCTTGCTCTGACCTCGGATAATGAGCACAAAGACCAGGAGCAGGATGAAGATGAGGCCGACAAGGGCAATGACCACCAAGAACCACCACTCCTCATAGAACGGGTTGGCTTTCTGGGCTGGAGTACAGATGGAGGTGTCAGGTCTGGGATGCTCAGCCCTCTCCTGCCCCCCACCCTCCCACTCCAGCTGGGCACTACCACCTGATCACACAATTTATAGGTACAGAGGTTCTGTGCTCACCGAGCAACACAGCCTAAGAAGAGATTGGTAAAGATGGCTTCGTTACAAATGCTAGCTCAGGTTAGGGGCTGCCCTGGCGTGCTGTTTTGAGAAGGTTCTGAGGTGGCTTCTGGACTTATTAGGAAAGTGTTCTGGGATTGATTAGTAATGTCTGTCCAGACACAGGCATGAGGAGCAGTAAGTAGTATGTTTGCTATTTTTCCTTGCCACCTCTAACCTACGGGCTAACTTGTTGTTGTTGTTAAGTGCCGTGGAGTCGGTTCCGACTCATAGCAACCCTGTAGAGGGTTTTTGAGGTTGTAAATTTTTACAGGAGCAGAAAGCCTCATCTTTCTCCCGTGGAGCAGCTGGTAGTTTTGAACTGCTGACCTTGCGGTTTGCAGCCCAATTCGTAATCACTACGCTACCATAGACCTGAATGTGCATGAAGTTTGGACTGAATTTTTTCCTGGTGGTAGAAAGCAGTGGAGTTGGGAGGGTGGGTACAACAAGTGGGTCTTTAGAATGCCGTCTTCCAGGAAGACCATCCGTCTCTCAAGGACTCCAGTACCGAGCACTGCTTTCTGGGTCTTTGATTTCAGTCTTGCAGTGGAAGGTTCTGGCTCATGATTTGGTCCTATCAATCTGGGCATGGGAGAGGTGTGTGGGAAGAGGGAGGAGGCCTGGTTTCTGGAAGGTACCCAGTGAATAGAAATGTTGAGTTGTATTCTGCTTTGGGGAATGGAATTCTAGTATTAAAAACCAGTTGCTGATTCCATTCTGGGTCCTTTGTGAGCTCTGGGGCAGGCTGGAAGGGAAAATAGGGAGGGGTGGCCATTCTGCCCCTACAGGCTCTGTTCAGCCCAGGCCTGAGGGCCTGCTGCTTCCAGGCCGATGACCCTGTGTGTTTTGGGATGTTTCCTTGGAAACACAGATGATGGTCTGGCCCATCCTGGGTGAGGAGCTAACAGATGCCTCATCATAGGCCTATAGCTCCAGCAGCTAGGCTCCTTGCCCGGACCTTCTGGAGTTCTTGAAAAGGAGCTTCAGGTCCAAGGCTCAAGGCCCCAACTTCCTATGGGCTCTGGCTCTGTGTTCCCTGCGCCGGAGCATCTGGATAACAGTGCATTTTGGTCTCCACCCCAGTGCCTCTGTGCCGTGCCCCCTCCCACCACCATCCCACAGCACCTGTACCTGGTACAGACTGGGAGGGGCTGCTGGGGGTGCCAAAGCCGTAGTCATTGACTGCGATGACCCGGAAGTCATAACTCACACCCGGCTTTAGGATGTCCATGCTGAACGTGTAGGAGGTCACCTCCTTGGGGATGTCCTTGATGAGGATGTCCCAGAGCCCCTCATCTGTGAGGGCACAGAGAAGAGGTCCCTGTGAGGGGGAGTCTCACACCATCCACCAGCCCCAAGGGTCATCTCAATGGAGATTTCAGTAAACATTGCTTCAGAATGACATGCCTTTTGGAGCATCTGACCCTTTCATTCTTTCTATTAAAACATGAGAAAACATACAACCAACCCAATATCACCATCCAAGATTGTTATGAGCTGCCATCGAGTGGACTGCGAAGACCCCACACACAATAGAACAAATCGATGCCCAGTTCTGATGGGTTATATGTTGGACCACTGAGATCCACAGGGCTTTATTTCTAGAAATGAGGAAGGTCTTTCTTCCTTATCTTAGTCTAGAAACGCCACTGAAATCTGTTCACTGTCCTAGCAATACTCAAGTCTCTGTCGACACATGTGCACCGACTGGGACTCAAACCCTGGTCTCTCGCATGGAAGTTGAAAATTCTACCACTGAGCCTCCACTACCATTGGAGAATACCCCGAGAGTTGGCAAAGGTGTAGTGCTCGCAGGCAGGACTGTAGTCTGGCCTTATGGAATCTGAGTGCCCTCTGAGTGTGGGTGGAAGAGTCTGGTGACATATTGTTCCCGTGACCATGTTACATTAAATGGCAGAGGGAGATGGCCTAAGTGGGCTTCACCTAGTCACATGAGCCTTTTAAAAGCAGACAGAGCACTTTCTCTCGCTGATGCAGTAGTCGGGTGGTTCTGGGGTCATTGTTGTTGTTAGGTGTCATCGAGTTGGTACCAACTCATAGCGACCCTATGCACAGCAGAGCGAAACACTGCCCGATCCTGGGCCAACCTCACTATTGTTGCCACGCTTGAGTCCATCGATGCTGCCGCTTGGTCAATCCATCTTGTTGGGTGTCTTCCTCTTTTTCTCTGACCCTCCACCTTACCAAATATGATATCCTTCTCCAGTGACTGGTCCCTCCTGACGATATGTCCAAAGTATGAGAGACGAAGTTTGGCCATCCTGGCCTCCAAGGAGCACTCTGGCTGTACTTCTTCCAACACAGATCTATTGGTTCTTTTGGCAGCCCGCCGTGGCATTTTCAATATTCTCCAACACCATAACTCAAAAGCATCAATTCTTCTTCGGTCTTCCTTATTCACTGTCCAGCTTTCGCATGCATATGAGGTTATGGAAAATACCATGGCTTGGGGTAGGCACATATATATGAGATGGCTTCTAAAAGTTCATGGGAAAAGGGAATGACAAGATAATGGAATTTTTCCATGATGTTTTTTGAAGTCCCCTTGTATATAATGTTGTGTTAAGTGCCATTGAGTTGGTTCTGTCTGATAGTGACCCTATGTACAACAAAACTACTGCTCAGTCCTGGGCCAGCCTCACAATCGGTGCTGTGTTTGGGCTCACTGATGCAGCCACTGCATCAGTCCATCTAATTCAAGGGCTTCCTCTTTTCACTGACCCTCCACTGTACTAAGCGTGAGGTCTCCCAGAGGCTGGCCCCTCCTGATAAAATGCCCCAAGTATGTGAGCTATCTCACACACACACACACACACACACACAGATATAAAAACCACACAAACACACAGACACACAGAAACACAGAGACATACACAAATACACACAGAGACACACAGAGACACATACACACACAGACACACAGACACATAAACAGACACACACACAAACAACACAGAAACACAGAGACACACATAAACAACACATAAACACACAGAGACACAAACACCTCACACAAACCTGGAGCCCTGGTATTAAAATGGTTAGGCACCAGGTGCTAAGTGAAAGGTCAGAGGTTTGAACCCACCAGCCTCACCTGGGGAGACCAGGCCAGGTGACCTGCTTCTGTAAATAGAGAGCCTAGGGACCCCTAAGAAGGCAATGCAACTGTGTCATACAGGGATGCTATGAGTCAGAATCTAATCAATGGTACACAACAACACACACACATGAGGAGGCTTTAAAAAATGTTCATGGAAAATGCCATCTTTTTTTTTTTCTCAGGGGTGGAGAGGAGTAAGGTGTGAGAGGGTTAGGACTCTGGCTAGGCCTAGTTTAGGTCCAGGATTTGATTTAGTGTTAGGGTATGGTGAGGATTAGGTTAGTGTTAGGGTATGGTGAGGATTAGATTAGTGTTAGGGGGAGGAGCTGAGCTCGGAGTAAGGCGTGGTCTAGTTTTAGGGTTAGGGTTAAGCTGTTGTTGTTAAGTGTCGTTGAGTCGGTTCCAACCCATAGTGACCCTGTACAGGGTTTCCAAGAAGTGGCTGGCGAGCTTGAACCACTGACCTTGCGGTTCAAACCGACTTTGCAGTCCAGCACATTAGCCCGCAGCCCACACAGGGACTCCACGGTTAGGCTGATTTTTATTTGAAATTATTTTCCTGAGATCGACTTGGTTTCCATTTAATATGGAAGTTCTGTGGCTACATTAGTCCCTCTTTTTACCTTATGTTTTTGTTGTTGTTGTTGTTGCAAACTGGTATCCCTGCTTCCCTATTTTCAGTCTTGTATGTTTATTTTACTTGGAATATTTCTATACCTGGGTTGGAGTCCTGGTGTGGCACTGTAGGGTAAGCACTGGACTGCTAACCAAAAGGTCAGTGGATCAAATCCACCAGTCACTTCTTGGAAACACTATACAGGGTTGCTATGAGTTGTACTGTCTTGATGGCACTTAACGACAACGCCATAGCTGGATGACATGCATGCTAGTCTCAGGTTATTGTCTCCCTGTCCAATGACTATCCTTTAGTACTGTTTTTTTGTAAAGCGGGTCTGGTTTTTACAAATTCTTTTAACTTCTGTTTATTTGGAACTGTCCTAATTTCACTATTATAATTGTCGGATAATTTTGCTAGGTGTATGATTCTTGGTTGGCAATTTTTTTTCTTTGAGAGTTTTATATATGTCATCCCATTATCTTCTTGGCTGCATGCTTTCTGCTGAGATCTCAGAGCCTCTTCTTTTTAGATTTGCTTTTTTCCTGAGCTGTTCTTGGGATGTTTTCCTTGACTTTGAAAAGTTTGATGCGAATATGTCTCGGTTATTTTCTTTTGGGATCTCTCCTGTTGGGAGTTTTGATTATCTTTTAATTCCATGAACTTTCTGAAGCCCCTTGTGTGTGTGTGTGTGTGGTGTGTATGTGTGTGTATATATACATTGTTGCTGTTGTTAAGTGCCGACCCATAGTGACCCTGTATAGGGTTTCCGAGGAGCAACTGGTGAGTTTGAACCACCGACCTTGCGGTTCAAACTGATTTTGCAGTCCAGCACATTAACACACAGCACCACACCAGGACTCCGTATGTATACACACACACATATTGAAAATCCACATGGTGACATCTGTCAGAAGGATGCAGACTTTCTTTTTCTTCAGATAGCTGCAGGGGGATCTGGGCTGTGTTGGAGGTTTAGCTAGCTGCCTGCATTTGGCAGGTTCCAAGATCAGGCACATTCTTTCTTAGGAGTGGAAATCAAAGGTGACAGAGGCACTATAAATGGCAGGACCATTCCATGGCTTCCACCTGGGAGGGATCCCCCATCTGTGCTCCACACCATGTGAACCCCAAACCTCCTTTCAGGCCCTTTGTCTGGGGCTCTCTGCATCTTGCCCCCGTGAGACATAATTCACCCTGACTCAAAAAGAGCAGCTGGAGGCTGCCATACGAGGGAAGAAGAGCACGGGGCTACCACAGTCTGGTGGCCATCCATCATGGTGACCTGGAGGCTGGAGGGGCTCTGGCCAGATGCACCGGGTGGGCCCCATGGGGGAGTGGACACTGGCAATCAGAAAGAGGAAGTCTCCCTGTGTGGTTAGTGGAGGTAGAGTTGGGAAGCATGTTTGCAAGCTGCTTTGGCTATTCAGGCCTCCTCTTCCGCAGCCTGTTCCAGAGGCTGGCACCACTGTGATGCGAAGGGTTCATTGGCCTTTCTTCCTTGTCCATCTCAGTATGGAAGCCCCCCCACTCCCCCGAAGCCGATTCAGCATCACAACACACCAGCCTTCACTGACGGATGGGTGCCCTGGTCAGAACTCCAACCTAGGTTTCCCACATGGAAGGTGAGACTTCTCCCACTGAGCCTCCTTTGTCCAGCACCTAGCCCGGGCACTCTAGACATGTGTCTCACAATGTTCACTGGCATTTTTATCACATCACACCCCCCGGTTTTGGGACTTCATGTTTCAGCATTGGGGTGCAACACCATTTTCCTCACGTGACTTCAATTAGCAGTTGGTGATGATAAAGATGCTGAGATAGCATCTGACAGCATTGAGGTTCTAAGTGCCTGGCATTCCATCTCCATAGCAACGGCAAGAGGGAGGGGCTAGTCTGCCCATTTTATAGATGAGCAAACCAAGCCTTGGAGAGAGAGCTTAACACATCTTTCTAAAGTCTCCACCCCTCCCAGTGCCCACTGGGAACTGGCTGTGTGAGGAGAGCTTGCCCAGGACTCTGCATCCACCTTTCAGAAGCGGGGCCTCCTGTCTGTTGCTGGACCGCTCTCGGTCCACCCTACACAGAGACAAAGGATGGGGCCAGCTCTGAAGCTTCTGGAATGACATGCTTTGGCTCTGGACAGTCCCTGGGGCTACAAATCCCCTGTGTGCCCCGTCCCTGGGTCTGCAGTGCCCAACGCTCAGTTCTTACTCTGCATACTAGGAACCACAGGTAGTGCAGGGGAAGTGCAAGACAGGTGGGATTTCACCCTGAAGGTGAGGAAGGTGTAGGCTCCCCCCCACGCCCAGCTGAATCAGGGGACCCAAAGGTAGCAGAAAGAAGGGCAGGGGGCATGACAGCGGAGGAGGAGTCCATCCATAACAAAGTCTGCTCAGAAAGGTCTCAGCAGTCCCCTGGCCCACCATCCTTGCCTGACTCCTTTCGTCCCCTTCCCTAGCCTAGATGGCTGCCCATGGCCAGCTCTCTGGGGCTGCTGACCCTGGGCAACACTGGCTTGTCTTTTCTTTTGAGTTCAGTCCTCCATCCCAAGCCCAGAATGCCCCCGGTCCCATGCTGGGCGGCACAGGGAACGTTGGGAAATCAATAGGGCCGAAGTCCCACAGCCAACATTCCTCAGCCCAGCACCCTGGTTGGTCAACTTCAGTGGAACAAACACACACAGGCCCTGGTTGGGAGAAACACCCGGCAGTCTCCCAGCCAACTCAGCAGCCAGCCCTGGAGGGGCTGGGAGGGACCATCTGGATGGGGAGAGGAAGCCAAGCCGGCCCACATCCTTCAGCTATGTGCTGGATCAGAGGCCAGATTTATTAGCTATTTGTGACTGCAATTATTAGCATAGGGCTTAGGCAAGGGCTGGGTAGTAAAGATGTATTGTCAACTACTGGAGTTATTAACTGTTTGCTATTGGGATGATTAACTCTCAGTTACCCTGAGGTATTAATGATCTGTCCCTGAAATGTTTCAATGCCTCACATAGAAGTAGTAACTACAGACACACTGACTACATCCTGTTAAGATAATTATTTGCTCTGTCTGCCGGGCCAACAAAGTCCTTTCTCTTGCTCCACTTAGTCACGTAAGCCCACATTCACGGACTATAAAGAACCTGACGCAGACACCTGATTAACTCAGAATCCTAGCAACACAGTTGCTGCTGGCGCTGGAGACCGAGAAGCAGGTATCATGGTCACCTGTGAAACAGGAGCCTAGGATGTAGCCCCCTGGAGGGACTTATCAGTGCCCCATCTCCTGATGGCTTTGGAAGTTCTTGTGATCTGATTTCAGGCATGAAAAGAGAGGCTGGTATGAGTACAGGAGCTGTTGAGGCAGACCCACAGCTGAGACGGGGCTTAAAGAGGCAGCCCAGGTCTCCAGGGGATGGTGGCCTCCTTCATCTCGGGGCACTCACTGGCAGCTGGGGTCATGTGGAGGACACTGGGCTTTAACCAACGTGAACCAGATGCTTGGCTCCTCTGACTTCTAGGATAATCCTCAACCCAGCCTGGTCTTCAACCCAAGTTGATCCTCAATCCAAGTTGATCCTCAATCCAAGCTGGTCCTCAACCCAAGCTGGTCTTCAATGTAAACTGGTCCTCAACACAAGTTAGTTCTCAACCCAAGTTGGTCCTTAATGTCTACTAACCACCATTTTCCTGGGAGTCCTTAGCCATGAGTCTGGTTCTAAGGCGGCACCCCATACCCACTGTTTCCCATCACCCAACACAGCTAGCACCAGCTTCACCTCCTACAGCTCAAACACCTTCCAGGTGGAGAAGAGGTACAAGTGCTGAGAGTGGGGGTCCTCAGGGGAGGGGGAGGAGGAAAGTGAGATGTGGACTCTTGGTCCAGAAGAAGAGGGGGCTCAGCGTGGGAGCAGGTGTACCTGAAGGTCTGGCCTCTAAGACATAGCGGGTGATGGGTCCCTTGCCAGGATCTCCGCTGGACCAGTGGATGGCGATGGCGGAGCTGTACCGTACAATGATGGGCATGCCAGGTGGTCCTGGTGCACCTAGAAGATACAGCAGACAGTGGGAACCACCCCTTTCCTGTACTCCAAGAGGAGGGAGGGGCTTGGGCAGGAAGCAGCCGTGGACAATGCACGTCTGAGAGATCTGTGAACTCCAAGGTCTGAGGCCAGCCTGTTAGAATCTGACCATGTTCTCTGAGTCACCCACACTGCCAGGGAGGAGAGGCTTAGGGGAGGAGAGCCCAGAGAGCCCAGCTTCCCGCTTGTCCCACGAAGGGTTAGATCAGGGGATTCTAGTCAATTCACATAGCCCTTGAGAGCCTCAGTTTCCCCACCTGTCAGGACCTTCTGGAGTGTAAGATTTGCAGGGCAGTGGTCATGGGGAGAGTTAGAGGTGGGTGTAAGGATGAGAGAGTGGACCTATGGAGAAGAGGGGGATTGCTTTGAGGGGCAAAAGGGTTCCCAATATCTCCTCCCAGGTCTGTGATGGCAGTATTTCCTTCTTCATTTCTGAAATCTCTCCCCACCCCTGAGTGAGTTACTCTTGGGTCAGTAGGGAGAGAGGAGGAAGGACTGGGCCTAGCACGGAGGCAGAACCCACTACTCCGACCTGGGGGGTGGTGGTGTCTGCTGTCTACTACATAGCAAGAGCAGTGAGCAAGGCCTCCATATAGGACCCCGAATCTCCTTCTCTCCTTGGGAGGGGGCCTGGTGCCACCCCCTGTGCTCCCACAGCCATCACTGAACCACGTCCTTCTCCTACCAGACCTGGGGCTCAGCTGTCCAGAGCCCAGCATACAGCAGGTGCTTCCTATGAGCTTATGGGGACAGAGCTGGGCAGAGTCACGAGGCCAGCGTCTGACATGAGATGCTTTGGGCTCATATGGCCAGGGTTACACTCAGAGCTGGTGGCCACTGCCTGGCCGTGTGTCCAGTCCTGACTCTGAGGGCAAGTATGAGGGCCTCGCTGTCTCCCTCCTTCCTGCCTCCTTTCCTGAGCATGCTTCCTAACCCCCTGCAGCACAGGGGGCCAGGTTGGGCAGGACATAGCTGAGGGGGTTGTGAGTGGGGGGTGGCTCAGGATCCCAGTTTGTCACTGTGCACAGAATAATACTCAGGGCAGAGGGAGGAAGTCTAGTTGTGGCCAGGCTAGGAGGGAAGGGTCTGATTGGCTGCACTTTGTCCTCAAAGCCCCCTCCTCACCCCAACCCCTTTTTTCTGGTTCTTTCTCAGAGGGCAATGTTCTTGGTACCCCCACCTGGAACCATATAGCCTGGGACACTTGATCTCAGGTTAGGACAGATGGCCCTCTGGTCAGCCCTCTCCTGCCCCGGGCCGTCCCTCACTCCTGCTGTGGACACCAGCTCTCTCCTCCTGCTTTTGATTTTCAGGAAGTTAGCTCAGGGGAGGGACACGTGGGACAGGGACAGGCAGGCGGGAGGCAGACTTGCTTGTCTACTGAACATGAGGCGGGGGACAGGAAGTGACCAGAAAGGGAAAGTGAGTGTGGGCTGGAACCACAAAGGGGGATGCTCAGACCCGCCTACCTCCCAGCAGCTAACTGGCCTCCTATGTCCACACCCTGCTGATGAGACTGCAGGGAAGGCTTGGGATGGATGCTGTCCCTGAATGTTGGCTATTGTGACTTTGGAGGCCTAACTCTGGCCATGCAGATGCCCTGACAAACCCTGTAGCCCCCAGAAGACTCCGGGGGGCACCATCAAACCCAGACCCAGCTCCCCACCCCCACCCCAGCTTTGGTTAATGGCATCAGAACTCCAGGGCCACTCAAGCCACAAATATTGGGGTACCCTCCTCCTCTTGGTCTGCCCACTTGACTAGCTCCCTTCTTTCCCCCTAATGTCTGTGTGGGGTCCAGCCCCCAGCATCTCTGTCCCCTGGTGGTCACCTTCCTGAACCTTAGACCCTCTAGGCTCACCCTGGCCAGCTGTTACTAAAATGCACACTCCCAGGATGGTGCCTCGGGATTCAGGTTTCCTGGGGCGGAGGTGGGCCCAGGAATCTTCATTCATCACAAGAAGTCAGGAAAGGGAGAATGGGCAGGTGTTCCCAGGCAGGATTGGGTCTTCCTTCAGCCCACCAAGCCCTCCCCTCTGCTCTGGACAGCAGTAGACTACAGACTACATTTTGTATTCCCACAACCTTCCTCTACCACCTCCTTTAAATGCCCACCCCTCACTGACAGTCAGGACTCTGTGAGTTCCCTCTGACCCTAGCTTGGCCATGTGGGCTTTTGGGGGCCCTGCCTGACTTGTGTGGGGAGTAGCAATCCGGGTGTCCCCTCTGGTCTCCTACCTTCTCCTGGGCCCGTGGTAACGTTGGCTTCGATCTCGGGTCCGTAGGTGAAGGTCTTGGCTCGGATGCGGAACCTGTAGGTCATCCCTTCCACCAAGTCTTTCACCTTCAGCCACAGGGGGCTGCTCCCCTTCACATCCACAGTCACAATCTTGCTGACCCCTGGGAGGGGGCACAGGATGAGGGGACTACTGGCAGGGCAGGAGGAGGAGAACCAGGCAGCGTAGGGGAGGGGCAGCAGTGTCTTGACGCCCCCAGACACTGACCAGAGGTCCCCCTGAAACCAGGTTGGGAAAGTACCACTATCCATAAAGCAATGCCTACTCAATGCCATGTCAGATTACCCAAGAAGCACGGTAAGCACAGGCTTACCTGTGCTTGCTCACTAATCTGTAATGAACAATTTTACATTTTTCACTTCAACAAAGATGGTGCTTCTCGGTCTGGTTGGCAACTGTCTCTCCCAGCTTCCCAGCACCTTCCTACAGAATCAAAGCCTCTTTCAAATGGACCACCCCGAATGTGACCACAGAGGACCATCAACAAGGTAAGCATGGGCTGACTTATGTTTTTTTCTATTTGTCTGTAGTGAAAAATCTCACATGGCTTTTTACCAAAAGTGGTGTAAAACCTGTGAAACTAACTGCTCCCTATAGATTATTTAGTAAGCACAAGTTAACTCATGCTTACTTTGCTTATTGGATACTCCAGCCATGACCCAGCCTCATTCTCAGGGCACAGGCCCGTAGGCCACTCTGGGAAAAAAGGCTCCATGATCAAGTCAGTTTGGGAAACACTACGGTCTGTCTATAAGGGTCCTTCAAGCATCAGAGGGAAAAGACGAGGCAATATCCTATTTAACTGAGACAGGTATAGTCTCCCCCTTTCTGGGTCCCCTGTAATACCTGATAACACCCCACAGAGGGAGAATTCCAAGGTCACCCTTCAGGAAATTCTCTCATGTCCAGGAGTGGTCCCCACACCCCAGGACCACCCACCGCTCAGCTTCTGAACTTCCCCTCCTTCCTCTGTGCTCTGTATCAGTCAGCTGGGCCTCCAGAAAGCTGTCCCCACCAGGCCTTTAAGGAATGCTTCTGCTCTCCCCACCCCACCCCCGATCCAAACCTCTAGGGTAGAGGTGGGGAACATCCAGCCCATGGGTCATATAAGGCCCATAGAATCCCTTGGTCTGGCCCTGCCAAGGCAACCACAGTTCCAGCCATCACATTGTTGTAACTGTTGTTTGAGCCATAGTGACCCTGTGTAGGTTTTCCAAGGAGCGACTGGTGAGCTTGAACCACCAACCTTGCGGTTCAAACCAACTTTACAGTTTAGCACAGTAACACACAGAGCCACACCAGGACTCAAGCCATCACATTGTTGTTGTTGTTAGGTGCCCGTTGAGTGGATTCTGACCCATAGTGACCCTGTATAGGGTTTCCAGCAGCTGGTGAGCTTGAACCACCGACCTTGCAGTTTCAATGACTTTGCAGTCTGATGCATTAGCCCACAGCCACACCAGGACTTCCAGCCATCACATTACGGGAGAGTTAATGAAACGTTTGCCCAAATACAGCAGGCTGATTTTTAAGTTGATAATTTTGTTACACATTTTGGTAGAAAAGAGGTTCCCCACACCTGCTCTAGGGAGAAGGCCTGGGTAGGTGTTGGGAGTTGGGGGCTGTAATGATTTAGGGTCCAGCATTCCTGGAATGGACTGGGCTGTATCTCTGTTGTTGTTGTGTGCCGTGGAGTCGGTCCCAACTCATAGTGACCCTGTACAGGGTTTCCGAGGCTGTAAATCTTTACGGGAGCAAAAAGCCTCATTTTCAATCCCACGGAACAGCTGGTAGTTTTGAATTGTTGACCGTGAGGTTAGCAGCCCGATTTGTAATCACTACGCTACAGGGCTGCATCTCTAACATCTACCAAACCCCCTGATGCTGAGACTGGGCTAGGCCCCAGAGCTGGCTCCCAGGGACTTGAAGCATTATGGCCCTTACCTGGCTCCAGGTTTCCTTCCTACCTCAGACGTCCTGAACAGGGATGTTAGGGGTTTAAAGGAACAGCAGAATGCTTGCCCACATTAGGGCTCAGCTTCTTTGTTGAGTGAATGGGTTACTGACAATAACAACAGAGACTAGCATGGTGTGGGGCATTCTCCAGGATTAGAGACCCTGGTCCCTGCTCCCCAGCATCTGCCTGTGCCTCAGTTTCTCCTCAGGAGAGGGGAGCTGCTGGCTTCTTGGGAAGTCTGTTTTCTGTCGACTCAGCGCAGGGCTGCAGTATAAAGCAGGGGTGTAGACAGTGTGCTTGAGTCCAACAGAGGTGTGTCCAGAGCTGGCCACTATCTGGTCATACCCAGGGCTTAAGGACCCTCTCAGGGGGCTGTCCCGGGGAGGGTGTGGAGTTTAGTGGGGGACCCACCTCTCTGGGCAGGGGACGCCTGAGGTACTTCAAGGCCAGGTGGCGGCCTCTGGAGCCAGAGCTTGTCCTGGTCCTTCATCTGGTTTCTATGGTGGCCTCTGGGCTGGCCTTCCTGCCCCTGACCAGATCTCCTCCCCCTCAGTGCTCCCACACGTGGACAAGCAGGTGCAGCTGGGGAGACTGAGGGGCCATTGTTCCCTGGCTGACCCAGAATGGCTGGCCCCACCCCTAGGGGAGCAGGGACTGTGAGGTGACCTCAGTGTTGCTCTCCCAGCCACCAGCCCTCCACATGACAGGCCAACTACACCTGGGGCCAACAGCAAGTGGGTCAGGCAGCAAGGTGTCCAGTCCCTCACTCCCCAAAGATGGTTGTCAGTAACCAAAAGCAATGGTTTCTGCACGTGATGCATCGGGACCCTTGTGCCTGGTGGGCACGTGTCTGACAGCTACGGTCCAGCCTGGGAGTGGGGCCTGGTGGGAGGGGCAGGCAGAGGCTGGGATGGAGGGACTCAGTAAGAAAGAACAAAGTCCCCAGATGGCATAGGGGTGCAGTGACCGCGGGGGGAAGCGCTGCTCCAAGGTTTTGTCAGCTTCTCAAAGGGGTTCCTGATACCTCAAAGGCTAAAGAGGAACCCTTAGAGGTTCTACAGGGTGGGTGTGGGGGGAGCTAAGAGAGGGCTCTATTTCCTGATGGTCCCTACAGAGACCTGTCCTTTTTGGGGTACTGTATCTTACCCAGATTCCCCTGACTGTCCTCCTCACTTGCACTGACTGAAGGGGATGGCATTTAAAAATGTCCTGCCTAGGAGTTAAGATCCCTGTAACCAAAAGGTTGGCAGTTCCAATCTAGTCAGAGCACCTTGGAAGAAAGTCCTGGATATCTGTAAACATAACAGTCAAGGAAACCCTATGAGGCAGCTCTGCTCCATCGTACATGAGTTGGAATTGACTCAATGGATACAATTAAAAAAAAAAAAAAAAGAATGTGCCCGGGTTAGGTGACCAATTGCCCTCAAAGTACAGTTTCACTTAGAAAGACCCCTTCCCTTTTCTGGGCCTGTTTCCCTGTTTGTGAGATGGAGGGATGCTCATTGCATCTGGCCTGTGGGCAGGGATGGAGAATGGGCCCTTGGAGAGGTGTGGGAGTGAGGAGTTGAGCTGAGTGAGGGTGAGGAAGGGAGAGTCCCACGTACCATCCACGGGTGTACAGGGTTCGTACACTAGCCGGTACCCCTCCAGGACGCCGTTGGGGAACTTCGGAGCCTCCCAGGACACATTCACCGAGGTTGTGGTCAGCTCACTGAACTTGACAGAACCGGGTGCACTGGGGGCTGCAGAGACAGTAAAGGGGTTTTCACATGTCTTTCTTTCACGGGGCATCAGAGCTGGGGTTCAGCTCCGAGGAACCGGCAGAGATGTGTGGGTCTGGCTCTGAGAAGGAAGAGACAGCCAGAGCTTAGTACAGAGTGGGCAGGTGGGCACTTGGGGTCGCCTTGACCCCACCCCCATCTCTATTACTCAGACTTGATGTCGTCAGACCAGCTTCCCCATCTTTCCCCAAAAGAGAGGAAAGGGGACTTGGTTTGCCCCTAAAATTGGGGAATTCAGGCTGCTTCTGCTTTGTCCTGGCAGAGAGAGCCATCTGCCTTCCACCCTCAGGGCCATGCGGGCATGGAAGTTTCCTGGCTCTGGGGGTTTCATGGATCCCCTCTCCTGAAGGAGAAGCAAGAAGCTATCTGGCCTCAGGCACTGGTGGTACGAAAGAAGATTCTGGAGTCACTGAGGTGGTGGCTGCTAACCAAAAACTTAGAGGTTTGAGCTCGCCGGAGGTGCTTGGAAGAAAGTCCTGAATATCAATTTTTAGAAATCTAGCCACTGAACACCCTGTGGAGTGCAGCTGGGTCAACACGATGGTAACTGATTAAGTTAGGTTAAAGAAGATTCTAGAATTGAAGTGCACATGGGAGCTAGACACAGTCAGAAACTCTGGAAGGGATGTTTTCTTGGAGGACATGGGGGAGGGGGCAGAGAGGAAGAGGAAGAAGACCTCACTCGGAGATCTCCTGAGCCAGCTCCAGGGAGGATGACTGGGTTATCATTGTCCAGTGGCGGCCTCCCCACCAAGCCGGAGGCAATCTGGGCCCTGTCTGGCTTCAGCTCTGAGTGGCAGCATCCTGAGTGGTCTTTGAAGGAAGGTGTCAAGCACAGGGGGCCTTTCCTGCCTTCTCTTGGCTGGAGGGAGATGGAACAGAACATTCTGTCCTGCTATTCACAGCAACGGAAGCTTCCAGGCTCCCAGGGGCTCACATCTGGCTGAGGACACTGAGTGTGGAGGAGCCATTTGGAGTCAGTGGAGGGGACCGAGGAACTGAGTGTAAAAACCATCCACTGTATCGGAAGCCACAGTTGGAAAGGAAGCTCAAAGGAGGCCAGGGCAGAAGACTGGATTAAAATCCTTGAGGGGCGAGGCCAGGATGTAGACAGAAAGCCCCCCACTAACCAGTGAGGCACATAACTTCCTGGGGACCCTTCCTCCACTGTGAAACGGAGGCAGGGGGCCTGCCCTGTTCATCTCAGGAGTTCCACAAGGATCCAGTGAAATTCTGCTCAAGAAACAGCTTCAGACCCTCTGTGAGGTGTTCTCTGCACAGGTGGGTGGCAGGATTCTTAGCACCCCCTAGCTCTCCTTTCCTCCTACCTGTTCTTCCTGCTCCCATGTCCCTAGTATCCTGGCCTCTGTCCAGCAGTCAGAGCAAAGCCATACAAACATTCATGATGTCCTGCCATTCATCAGCTGAAAACCCCACTATCTTCCACTGGATTCAGAAGGAACCCCACATTCCTTAAAGTCCCCCTGACCCTTTTCTGGCCCAATCACAGCCCATCTTTCCCAGTTTGTGGACCAGTCCACCCACCAGGCCTTTGTACCTGCTGTTCCCTCTGCCGGGGATACTCCCCCTTTAGAACCTGCCATGGCTGGCATCTTCGCCTCCCTCAACTTTCCTCTGAGGTCTCTTCCCAGGCGGCTCTCTCCAAAGCCACTGGTTCTCCTCTCCAGCCCCTCCTCATACTTACATCATCCACATTGGAAGCTAATTCAGCTGTTTACTTGTTTGTGATCTGCCTCCCTCCCAGGGGTGGGGACCCTGTTGATCTCCTTCACTGCTTTGTTCCTAGCACCTAGCTCACTGTGGGCTCATTGAAGACACTCAGTAAATATTTATCAAATGAACACAGCCAGGGACAGGTAGGAAAAGCAGGTTGGGACAAGGCAGGGAGAAGTGGGACGACAGGGTTAGCGACTATATGCATGGTGGTGGGGGGGAGCGAACTGGGTACTTCTTCCCAGCCTCTGTTTCCCTCCAGAACATTGTGTCTAGGCCCCTCCGTCTGGAGGGCATCTCAGGGTGACTGGGCACCAAACCCAGGCCCCTCCCCATTAGAGCCCAGAGCCCAGGAGGGCCCTTGTCCACTGTCTGCGGCAAAACTGTCCTTCCCAGGACCCACCTGCTTGCTGGGTCTGGCCCCTGGTGGGGGTGCTCCGTGGCCCATCCCCGGCGGCATTGAAGGCCGCCACGCTGACCATGTAGGCTGTGTAGCCGGTTAGGTTCTTAAGTTTTACACTGTTCTCAGGCAGAAAAAGAGTCTTGACTCTCTCCGTGAGATTCCGTCGCTGGGCTTCCCAGAAATAAATCTGTGGGCACAGGCAATGTGGGGTGAGACCACCGATCAGAAGTCTCTGCTGCTCCTCTCCCCACTTCCCCCTCCTGGGCCTGGGGTCTCCCAGAGCTCTTTACTGTGGTCCATCACTCAGGAAAGAGCATCCAAGTATGTACAAGGGGCCTCTGGGCCTATAAATGGGGAGTGAGCTCAGTTGCTAACTGAAAGGGTGGGGGTTTGAAACCATCCACAAACACCTCAGAAGAATGCTTTGTTGATCTACTTCAGAAAAACCAGCCACTGAGAACCCTGTGGGGCACAGCTCTACTCTGACACATGCGGGGTCTCCATGAGTTCGAATGGACTCTACAACACTGGTTTGTTAATATAAGAGCTGTTTAGAAACTCTTCCAGAACCTTCTTTCACATCCAAGACTGAATAGTCTGGTAGACGCTAACCCTATGAGGGTCAGTGGGAATTAGAGGGCATTGTCACATCTGGTGTTGCTGAGGGTTAGGTGCTGGACTGCTAACCTCAAGGTTGGCAGTTCCAACCCACCAACCTTCCCCACAGGACAAAAATGGAGTGGTTTTATTCTATCCTATAGGGTCGGAGTCCTGGTGTGGCACTGTGGGTTAATGTGTCAGACTGCAAAGTCGTTTGAAGTGCAAGGTCGGTGGTTCAAGCTCACCAGCTGTTCCTTGGAAACCCTATCCAGGGTCGCTATGGGTCAGAATCGACTCCACGGCACTTCACAACAACCACATAGGGTCACTACTAGTCAGAATGAATTTGATAGTTGTGGTCACATTAGTGAGGAGTTCGGGTGATGCAATGATTACGCGCTCGCCTACAAATCCCGAAGTCGGAGGTTTGAACTCACTGGCCACTCCACAGGAGAAAGGTGAGACTATCTGCTTCCGTAAATAATTAAAAACCAAACCAACCCCTGTCGTTTCAAGTCATAGTAAATCTTCATGGGAGCAGACAGCCTCATCTTTCTCCTACAGAGCAGATGCTACACTCGAACCTCTGAACTTGTGGTTAGCAGTGTAACACCAAGCCCACAGCACCACCTGGGAAACTATATCGCTGTTGTTGTTAAGTGCTGTTGAGTCGGTTCCGACCCATAGCGACCTGTTTCCGAGGAGCAGCTGGTGAGCTTGAATCACCGACCTTGCAGTTCAAATGGCTTTGCAGTCTGGCGCATTAACCCACAGTGCCACACCAGGACTCCATAGGACAGTTCTACTCATTCCTATACGTTTAGTAAACTTGATGACAAGAGCTTCTCTCTCTTTCTCTCTCTCACTTTTGTTGTCACATCAGCAGTTTGGGGAGAAATGAATCAATTCTGTTCTTCGAGAGCCTGGTTCAGGGACGAAAGGACCGTGTGGTTAGCTCTCCCCAACCTCCACCCACTGCTGCATCTGCATCTACAGGTGATTCACTCTACCGGACACTTTTCAGAGCCCCATGGAGAAAGATGACGCTTTCTGCTTCCATAAAGATTTACAGGCTCTGAAACCCTGTACAGGGTCGCTATGAGTCGGAACCGACTCCACGGCACATAACAACAACAACATGGAGAGCAAGGCGGGAGAATGGTAGGCGGAGCTGGGTTGAAAGTTGGCCCCACTTCCCAGAGCTGCAGTTCTGTTGCATATGTATGTAATGGGGTTAAGGTTCCCCCATTACTAGATCAATCCGTGAGTGAAGTTCAGGACAACTCTAAGGGTCGGGTGGGGTTCCCCCAGCACTGGTCAACTTCAGAAGGCATTGCAAGGTAAGGTCTTTAACCTTAAAGACCAGGAGCATAGCACATACTCTTCAATGACTTCGCATCCAGGTGGAAGCACTTGGGTCCCTAACTCATCTCAGAAGGCTGAAGAAGGTAATACAGACAGCTGTAAGGGTGGGCGTGCACAACCCACACAGAGATTTGCAGGTCATTTGGCGCCACCTGCTGGTTATTAAGTTATCTGCAGGCTACCGGCATCAATTTTTCTCAATCCTGGGAGGATGCTAATAAAAAGACAGTTAATAGAAGAACCCCCATGCGGCATAGATGAACAGCAGTGAGGATATCTTGCTACCATCAAATCCTTACTTGCCTCCTCCCCTTTCTTTCCAGACTCTGCTCATATGGGTAGGTGAAAGAGAGCTGAATAGTCTTAGGTTAGGTCATTCATTCCTCCACTCACTCACTCACCATTCACAGTAATGTATCCAACTGTAAACAACTGACTCAGGGGACCCAGTGTTTGTCAGAGTAAAACTGTGCTCCAGAGGATTTTCAATGGTTGATTTCTTTGAGGGGGAGGGGGTTGTAGATTGCCAAGCCCTTCTTCTGAGCACCTCTGAATAGGTTTAAACTGCTACCCTTTCAGTTCGTAGCTGAGCACGTAACTGTTTGCACACCACAAGATGGCACACAGAATTCATGCTAAGTGTGGTTCTCATAGGAACGGCTAAGGATGTGCTCGATGTGTGGGCTTCACCAAAAGGCTGGAGGCTGGACTGTACTCAGAGGTGCCTTGGAAGAAATGTCTGGCTATCTATGTCCAAAAATCATCCACTGAAAGCCCAATGGAGCATAGTTTTATGCTGACACATATGGGGTTGCACTGAGCTGGGGTCAACTCAACAGCAACCAGTGAAATTAGGATAAAGAAGATTCCAGAATGGCAATGGATGTGGCTTCATGCTTGTCCCCAGGATGGTGTTTGGTGGGCACAAGAGTCAACAGAGAGAGAAACGAGTGGATGATTACAAATGGATACTTGGGGGCCTCTGGTGAGTGAGTGAGCTGGTGAGGAAAATGAAGAGCCGCCAATGGTTAGAGGGGGAGAGAGAACCACTGTGTTAATCCCTGCTGCTATATCAGGCAGGGGTCCTGGTGACACTGTAGGGGCAACACTGGACTGCTAACCGCAAGGTCGGCAGTTCAAATCCACCAGCGGCTCCTCGTAACTGACTCGCACTATGAGTCCGAACCGACTTGACAACACTTAACAACAAGAAGTCTGCAAGGATGAGACATGTGATTGGACCTCCTCTTAGAACCAAACCTACTCATGGCGACCCCATGAGTGTCGAAGCTGAGTGTGCACCACTGGATTTCAAATGGCTGAGTTTCCAGGTCTTTCTTCTGAGGTACCTGTGGATGGACTCCAACCCCCAACCATTTGGTGAGCAGCTGAGGGTGCTCACTATTTGCCCCACCAGGGACTTTGACCACCTATTGTTAAGTGGTGTCAAGTCTGGTCCAACTCATAGCGACCCTGTGTAGGGTTTCCGAGGAGTGGCTGGTGGGTTTGAACTGCTGACCGTGTGGTTAGCAATCCATTGCTTATCCTACAGCACCACCAGGATTCCTAATAGGCTATATTGTTGTTGTTGTTAAGTGCCATTGAGTTGTTTTCTACTCACAAAGACCATATATAGGGTTTCCAAGGAGTGGCTAATGGGTTTGAACTGTTGACCTTGTGGTCCAGGGCTCATCCTACAGTGCTACGCCAGGATTCCTAATGGGCTATGTTGCTGTTGTTGCTGTTAAGTGTTGTCTAGCAGGTTCTAACTCATAGCAACCCTGCATAGGGTTTCCAAGGAGCAGCTAGTGGGTTTGAACTGTCAATTTTGTGGCTCAAATTGACCTTGTAGTCTAGGGCTTATCCTGCAGCGCTACGCCAGGATTCCTAATAGGCTATGTTGTTGTTAAGTGCTGTCGAGTTGGTTCTGACTCATAGTGACCCTGTATAGGGTTTCTGAGGAGCAGCTGGTAGGTTTGAACCACTGACCTTGTGGCCCGGTTCTTCTTCCACAGTTCCACTAGGAAGTGATCAGTGAGGATGAGAACCTCCTGGGAGTGGGTGCACAGGAGACCAGAGGGGACAAACTGGCAGCATCGAGTGACAGGAGAGAGGTAGAAATGACTTTTGAGGAATTCTGCTGAAAAGGAGACCTGCTAGACACAGGGTAACAGTGCGACCAAAGGCATTGAGAAAATGAAGCATAATTCACAATGCTTTCATCCCCAGAGGACTCCCTGGCTGGTGCAGATAGTTGAAGCGCTAGGCTACTAACCAAAAAATGGGAGGTTGGGGTTCACCCAGAGGTGCTTTAGAAAACAGGCCTGGTGAGCTACTTCCCAACACTCAGCCAACGGAGCACAGTTCCACTCTGACACACGTGTTAGAATCGACTCCAAACATTAAAAAAAAAATACCCATGGAACTATCTATTAGAGAGAGCGATGTGATGAAACTGGAGACAGGACCATGGCAGGGATATGTCCTGGGTAGGGAAGAGTTGGTTCTGACTCATAACGAATTTGTACAGGGTTTCGAACAACGGCTGATGGGTTTGAACTGCCGACCTTGTGGTTAGCAGGCCAATGCTTATCCTACAGTGCCACACCAGGCTGAGGATTCTGTAATTGACATCTTCAGCTTAGATTTTCTCTTTGGAGCTCCGGACATGTACAGCAAGCTCTCTTCGGTGCCTCTGCATGGATGTCTGCAGATATCTGGAGTCTAACGTCTCTAGAACCAGACTCGCTTTTAAGCCTGTTCCTTCTATTGTCTTTGCCTGTTTTGGTATTGGCAGCTCCATCACCCCATGGCTGGCAACACTGGTGTTGCTCTGGTCTCCCCTCCCTCTCTCACTCTGTATTCAGCTCTTCATCAAAGTCTACCTTTAAAACGTAACCAGTGTGACCACTTTTAACCCCGCCATTGCTTCCCTCCCTGGTCCGAGTCCCTCATCTGGTTCGTTCGGACACCTCCATTCATTAGTTTCTATTCTGAGAGCAGCCATGAGCATAACGCTTTAAGGACCTCGAGCTACACCGTATCTCTCCTTTGCCCCAAGCTCTTTGTCCATCATTTCATCCAAAGTAAAGTCCAAAGCCTTCAAGGGCTCTGTGTGATCCAACTCTGGTCACCTCCCTAACTTCCTCACTTCCAACACACACAGTGCTCTTTGCTATTCTTGTCCCTCTTTCTGGAATGTTCTTCTCCTAGATCCATGTGACTCATCTCTTCCCTTCCTTTAAGGTTTTGCTCCAATTTCACTTTTTCAGTAAGTCCTTCACTGACAACCCTACTTAAAGGCTCCCCACTGGCCTGTCCTCTATCCTGCTCACCGACTTCATTATTTATTTTATAGGTAGTCGGTCCAGGACAATATAAAGGACCTGCTGGGACTCGAGGAGTGGGCACGAATGTGTCTGTCTGTGGATATAAACAGCTCAATCTGACCCCATGCGGGGTCATTTTCTGCTGGGCTCATTGGTTCAGGGAGGCCACCAAGGCCCCGGGTACTTAATGAACGTGCATCTTCGCAGTTCAGATACAGACAACGCTTCCTGAACATGGCGGATGTTGCCGTGTTGTAAATGGTGCCTGCTCACCCACACGGGTTTCCTGGCTCTGTACACGAACCCGGAACTTCCAAACCTCGACAGTCTGGAGGCTGCCAAGTTGTCGCTGGCTCTGCCCTGATTCCTTCTTCCCCCTGGAGGCGTATACTGGGGGTGCCACGTTTAGCTCTCCTAGCTGGCACTACTGAGAGAGATCCTTCGAGCTCCCTTGGCACCATGCCTCTCCCCCTCCCTTTCTGCTCCCCACACACCCCCCTAAATATGCAAAGAAGTTCCTGTGCTGGATTCTGTCTTTGATACATGAGTCAGAGAGAAGTTCTTAGCATCGGCTGAGCCTCTGTTTCCCCACTGGGCCCCTTTGCCTCTCTCTCTCTCCCCCACTCCGGCCATTACAATGGAAATAACACACTGTGGTCAAGAATCTGAGTAATTGACTGGTCTCGCACATGGCCAAGGCCCCGTGTTGCCATTGCTGGACACCTTCTTCTTATTTCCTTCCACTTTCTCTTGTGATTACAAGTTCAACGCCCCCTTCCGCCCCTTCTCAGGTGAGAGCCCACAGACATAGACTCTGTTTCTCTGCTGCCTTCTGTTTCCGTGAGCTTGGCTAGGCCACCAAAACTGGGCCTCAGTTTCCTCATTTGTACAGTTGTCACAACAACCCACAACCTACCTGCTTTTATAGGGATTTTAAGATTAAAGGGCTCCTCAGATATTAGGGACCCATCACTCACGATATTACCCAACATCCATACGTAGGTTTAAAGAGAGTTCCTATTTGCTAAGCAGCTGTTCATTTAGCATCAGTGGTGGTGGTGGTGGTTATGTGCCGTGGAGATGGTTCTGACTCATAGCGACCCTGCACAGGGTTTCCGAGGCTGTAAATCTGTACGGGAGCAGAAAGCCTCATCTTTCTCCAGCAGAACAGCTGGTAGTTTCGAACTGCTGACCTTGCGGTTCACAGTCCGATTCGTAACCACTACGCTACCAGAGCTCCTTTAATTCCATTGCTGTTGAATCAAGTCTGACTCATGGCAACCCTGAGTGTTAGGGATTAAAACTGCTCTGTGAGGTTTACTTGGCTGTCAGCTTTACAAGCCCTGATGATCTGTTCCCATAAAGTTTCCGGACTAGGAAAACCCACAGGGCAGTTCTACTCTATCCTATAGGGTTGTTCTGAATTGGAATCAACTCAATGGTACCCAGCAACGACATTTATAGAAGTCGATTGCCAGACTTTGCTTTCTCGGCACCTCTGGGTTCAAACTGCCAAGACTATCAGTCGAGTACAAGTTGTGCCCCATAGGGACCTTAATGTTGTGATTCTTAGTGTCATTGTTAAGTGACATAGAGTCATTTCCGGCTGATAGTGACCCCATACAGAAACAGCTGGTGGGTTTGAACCACGTGGTTAGCAGTCCACTGTTTTTCTTGCAGTGCCACACCAGGACCTCCATATTGAACTTGTTGTTAAGTGCCGTCAAGTCAGTTTCAACCCACAGCAACCCTGTATAAGGTTTCCAAGGAGTGGCTGGTGAGTTTGAGCCATTGACCTTGTGGTTCAAACAACTTTGCAATCCAGTGCATTCGCCCACAGCGCCACACTAGGGTTCACCAAATAACCACCCTGAGGGGTACCATATGAAGACTGGGGGTCAGCAGTAGTCAGTGGCGCTACCACTCAGTAATGCTATGAAGCTGAGCACAGCTAGAACCCCTGCATCTGGACTCAGCCTGCCCTCTGTGGATTGCACATGGACAGCCATGGGAGGCGGGGTAGACCAGAGTCCCAGGAGTGAGTGCCCTCTGGGAGGAGGAAGGACCTAGGCCCCCCTCCCTCCGACCACACCCAGGCCTCCTGCCCCTAGAGCGCACCCCTACCTTGTAACCCTGAATGTCTCCATTCTGGCTCTCCAGTGGGGGAGGCTCCCACATCACATCCAGTTGCGTGGCTGTGGCACCATGGACCACCACATTGCGGGGTGCAGCAGTCGGCACTGTGGGGTGGAAGGTGTGAGTGCGTGTGGGTGCACTTAGGGTGGGTTAGGGATCCCCAGGTTCCAGTCCTCCTGTGACTGGACTTGGTGGAGATGGGAATGGCTGGGGACATAAAAAGGAAGATGGACTCACCTGCTTCTCCAACAAAGACCTCCTGTGGGGGGCTGGAGGGACCCTCACCCACAGCGTTGTACACACTCATCCGGATTTCATAGCGTCTGTGCTTGTTCAGGTCTGGAGATGAGAGGGGGCGGGAAGGAAGTACACAGGGGTCAGTCCCTGCTGGGACGGAAGTGACCACTGAAAGTGGGGCTCCCCATGCTGCGGAGCGAGGGCTGAAGCATCCCTGTACCTCTAGACCATCGTATGAAAGTACAGGAAGAAAAACAGCACTGAGAGCCCTCCTGGAGAGCGCTGGTCCTCCTGCCCTCCCTGCCAGGGCGACTCTGGCCTAGAGTGACCACAGAACTCTTTGTCCAGACCAAAAGGGGGCACTGTTGCTATTTATGCTGGGCACACAGGATGTAAGGTTACTCCTGCCCCCAATGGTTGATGCCTAAAATTCCCAGCTTTCCTCTTTGCCTCCCTCCGTCAGCTCTTCAGCTCTGGGTGTAGGTATTGGATGTGCACTGAGGGCAAGGGAACTCATATTTTTGCTAAGTTTAAAGTGCTGGAGTGGATATGCTTGGGCAGAAGCTGAGAGAGGGATGACGTTCTATGAATATGGATTCAGATACCCCAGGTGGAGACAGTGGTCCTGGCTAGGATGACTGGGTGGCTCTCCCATTCTCTCTTGGCCCTCTTGTGGAGAACCCAGGAACAGGAATGGGGTGTCTGTGTCACCCTAACTTAACCCTACTGTACTCCGCATGGACCACAGTCTGATGGAAGAAGGGGAAATGAGTGCTTTTTCTAAGTGTGGGGCCCTCTTGCCCAAGACTATGGCTGGGACTTTAGGAAAAGGGCCAGGGCTTGAGAGATATGAGTGTAATTGTTGTTGTTGTTATGTGTTATGGAGTCAGTTCCGACCCATAGCGACCCTGTACAGGGTTTCCGAGGCTGTAAATCTTTACGGGAGCAGAAAGCCTCATCTTTCTTCTGCGGGACAGCTGGTAGTTTCAAACTGCTGATCTTGTGGTTTGCAGCCGGATTCGTAACTACTACGCTACCAGAGTTCCTTTTGATATGTGTTGTTGTTTTTGTGAAGTGCCGTCGAGTCGGTTCCGACCCACAGCAACCCTGTATAGGGTTTCTGAGGAGCAGCTGGTGAATATGAACTGCTGACCTTGCAGTTCTGACGGCTTTGCAGTCTGGCTCATTAAGCCACAGCGCCACCCCAGGACTCCATGAGTAACTGCCATTTTCTGATCTTTGGAGAGGAGGCTGGTAAATGAGACTGCTCTCTGGGTCCAGAGCTGGAAATAGGAGCTGGAAATAGGAGACTATTGAAAAGTGCCTCCTAACCAGAAGTCCAGTCAGGAGGGTCCAGCAACCCAAACTGTGACCCATTCTCCTGATACCTCTTCAGACCCACTGGTATCTGGTCACCCCAATACATGGCATCCCCACGCACAATATAAAGCGGCCTGGTTCTGCTCCATCTCCACCACTGGTTGCAGATTGACTGTTGAAATCTACACGGTTTCACTGGCTGGTTTTGGAACGTAGATTGCCAACCCTTTCTTCCTATTCTTAGTCCGGAAGTTCCACTGAATCCTATTTAGCATCTTAGCAACACACAAACCCCCACTAACAGGTGGAGGGTGGTTGTGTGTCAGGGGCACTGGCAGGTTATGAACCCTGGTGTCCCACTGAGCCATCATTGGTCTCTGCAATTCAATGTTTGCTTTTCTATCCAAACCCAACAGATGGTGAACTTGAAGAAGACTCACAATCTGTTTGTGACTTGGGGAAAATCTTGCATCTAATGGGTCTTCACACTCCTCAAGCCCCCTGGGGGTAGGGTGCACCACTCAGAGGCCCCGCCCCCAACCCCGCCCAGCATGGAGCAGCAAACCATGGGAGCCGCGGGGCATGGCGGGAACCCTGCGCAGGAGACTTACTGTCCAGCTCGTACTGCGTGAGGCTGGGCCGGCTCAGGTTCCGCGTGGAGTACAAGGCTAGGGGGCGGGGGAAGCGGTGGTGGGGCCAGAGTGAGACAGTAGACAGAGGAGGTTAGTGTGCACACATGGCGTGATCCGCAGAGAAACAACAACGAGGGGCAGGTTGGGAGAGAGGGGATGCTCCGGGGGCCTGGGGCAGAATCCAGGTGCCAGGCCTGGAGCAGGAAAGAAGTCCAGTGAAAACAGCCCTGCCCTCATCTTGATCCACAGGGCTCAAGATCAAGCCCCACCTCCCACCCCGGGGGGCCAGCTCTGGGGTACCCTCTAGCTCTAACTCTCTCCCTTGTTTAAAGGCAGGCTACTGGAGAAGCAGGGTGAAATACTAGTGTTATTAATTCTCTCATATGAACCAGAAACAATTTTACTACCAGGAAATATGACTGTATTATACACAGGCAATATAAAATCACAACCACAAGTACACGTCCGGCAAAAAAATATAACGCAAGCTGCTGTATCATCAACGACTGAGTTTTTTCTATTAATATTCCTTCGCTACACGTTCAATCATTTTGCTGTCTGCTAACGCTCTCTAGAACAAGACACAAAACGTTTAAAAGAATTATGGGTGGAAAGATCAAAATGAACAGGATCTTAAAATTCCTCCTCTCTGACTCCTATGTTCTGATGATGAATCCCTTCTCCCACCCAGCTTCCCAAGAGGTCCTGGACACCTCCCTTTCTTGCCAGACTTCCCCCAGAACCAATTACGGAGCTCGGTGGAGTCTCCACCCATAATAGATTACCTCCCAAACTGGTCCGCCTCCATCCCACAGTGCACTTGTCTACAGTCCTGCGCTAGCAGCCAACTGGTGTCCCTGTCTCGGGTCCATCTCTGTCACTTCCACCAAAGTGACCTTCCTAAAACAAATGCTTAACTGCATCATCATGCCCTTGCTTAAGACGCTCTCGAGCATCCCCTCTTCTGCACGTTTGCTTTTATCCTTCCGCCACAAGACTAGGCTGCACTCCAAGCACCTTCAGAAGCACTGTTCCTTCCTACCACGGGCCCTTTGCACATGCTGGCTTTCCCCCACCCCTTCCACCTGGGTGAATCAGAATTATCCTTCAGGGTTATCAAGCCTCAACGTTGACTCTATTCTGGTTGCAGAGTAGAACTGTTCCATAGGGTTTTCTAGGCTGTGATCTTTACGGAAGCCGATCGCCAGGCCTTTCTTACGAGGTGCCGTTGGGTGAGTCCAAATCACCAATCTCTAGGTTAGTAGTTAAGAGCAAACCGTTTGCCCCACCCAGGGACCTCTTCTGACACTGCTGTTAGGACCTCATGAACTTCCATGGTTCTACCACGTAGTCCAGACAGCTGTTTTATGTATTTATTTCGGGGCTCATTTCTTTAACGTCTGTCTCTTCTTCTGGAGGGCAGGGGTCCTGGTTTGGTCACAGGTGTGCCCCCAGTGTCTCACGCATCCAGAGGTACTCAGTAAATACAGAACAAGTGGGTAGGGAGGCACACATAGGAGAAGGGAGAAGGGTTTCAGGTTAGAGCCTTCTGGGAGCCTGAGAGTCAGGAGGGCAGAGAAGGAAGGGTCTGAGGATCAGGACAGGGAGGGGGCATGCCCACCCGCTCCGCCTTTGTCACTCACAGGTGAGCTCCGCCCACTTGGCTCCCGGATTGTGGACGCCACGCAACGTGAAGCCCCTCAGCCCTTCGTAAAGCAACTCGCGGTAGCGGATCCGGAAACCCAGGAGGATGCCATTGATCTTGTCTTCAGCTGGTGGCTGCAACGAAGACAGTGGGAGGGACCTTGGATAACCACGCCCCCTTCTACCCCGCTCACCTCCCTCCCCTTCTTGCCTCTTGGGCCACAGAGCCTGGACAAGATTAAGTTCATCTCCAGTAGGAAAAGACATACGAATAACAGTGAGCATTTTAAATTCTAAACAAAGTTATTGCATCGAAACAACAGTCCCTGGGAGGCAGGGCAGGGCAGGAGCCATCGCGCAATTTAACAGAGCAGGAAACTGAGGCTCAGAGATGTCCAGGAACCTGTCCAAGATCATTCACACAGCACGGTTTGTGCCAGATGCGCAACTCTGTTTACAGAGCTGTTCTTGGTCTAGATGGCCACCACCAGTCTTCTCAAGCTGGCCAACCCCGCTGACATTTCCAGGAGCACCTACGAGCTGAGCCCTGTGCCTACTCTTGAGTGTGCATACACACGCGCGTGGACACACACACATGGGTGTGTACATATCCAGGCATGTTCACAACATGAGAATGCACACACATGCTCACACACACGGGTGGGTACATATAAAGGCAGGCACACACAGGGGCATGCACACACGGGTGTGACATGCACACACGTGCGAGCACATGCTCTCAGGCACACATGGGTGTGTACATATAAGGCATGTACACATATATACACATGAATGAGTACATTTATAGGCATGTACACATGGATGTGCACACCACAAGGGCACACACGGACATGACCATATACAGACATGTCCACACACGATGTGCACACATGCACACAAATGGGTATGTACATATACAGGCATGTCCACACATAAGTGCGCGTGTGTGCACACACACGCACATCAACATCTCCTCTGCTTTGTGCTCTTGTCCCCAGCTGAGCCGGTACAGGGAGAAGAAGGTGGAGACTACCATTTATGACACAGCTCTTGAAAGCCTGTCGAGAAGGCCAAGACTTTTATGAGCTCTTTAATTGCTTCTCCGGCTGTGGCTGGTGCCTCTATGCCTCTTTGCCACTGGACCCCGTCTTCTTGTCTCTTTAGGGGAGGCTGGGAGCTGTGGCCACCAGAGAATGGGCAGCTGGGGAGGAGGTAAAGTGGGGGTCTCCCTCTGCCTGACAGGGAGGACTTGTTCTGGGGACAAGCCCACTAGGAACACGCACACCTGGGTTTGGTCTCTCTACTAGGGCTCCCCTCACTGGCCTGTGGGCATGTATTTGATGGGGATTCCAGGGCCTGGAAACCCCCAAGTATTGTCCTGTCCAAGTATTTAGTGACCCTAACGTTAATAATCTGGACCTGCCGCTTACCAGCTTTGTGACCAGGGACCCAGCCTCTGTCCTCATTTGTCTGATTAGATTGTCTGGAGAGTTGGCTGGGGTGTGTGTGTGAGTGTGAGTGTGTATGCACGTGAATGCCTGCCTGTGTGTCCATGTGTGGGCAGTCTTTGCTGTGATGTGCACACACCAGGATTTCTCATGCCCTCCTGTGTGCCCTGGGGGCGGAGACCCTGACCCCCTGACGGCCCTGGCTGGGCTGTGGGTTTCTGGTCCTCCAGGGAGACAATGTGCCCACTGGGTCAACGTACCTGCCATCGGATCAGCACGGAGGTGGTGGTGTGGGGTAGCACCGACAGGATGGTGGGTGCTTCATCGGGAGCTGGGGAGAGAGGTGGACAGATGAGCTCAGAACTCCCAGGAGCCCATGGGGACCAGATCATGTGGTCCTGGACTGCTCTGGGTAAACCACCCTTCCTTCTCCAGAACCCAACATCTGCAGACAGAGGGTCCATGTGGAGGGGGAGGGGTCTGGGAATCAAGGGTCCAGAACCCCTCCTCTGCCCCCAGAGCCCAGGCCTCTCTCTCTGACACTGCCCAGTGTTCACCCTGTCCCCTCTGCAGCCACCCACAGTTTTTCAGAGCTTGGGGGACATAAGAAGAGGAATGGCTTTGAGTGTTAATCCTGAGTTCACACCTCCTTAGGGCCCTGTCCAGGGGGCCCAGCTGAGGGTCCCAGCAAGCCTGGTCAGTGCCCAGGAAGCCCTCATTGAGCCAAGATGAAGAGACCCTAATAAGGGGTGGGGGGTACTGACCAGCTTGCAGGGTGGTCAGTGATTCTGACTCCTCACTGAATTCGCTGTCCCCAATGTCATTGGTGGCCTTCACCCGGAACTTGTAGGAAGTGAAGGGCTTGAGCCTGTGAGAGAATCTGGTTCAATGAAGGAAGCGCTCAGTAAGCACCTTTCTCCCACCTCTAGTCTCATTGACCTGTCCGTGCCCAGGGACAGGGAGCAAGGGTCCAACACTCGATGCAGATGGTAGTTCTGCTACCTGGAAGACAAACTGGGGCCAGACCCCAGGGGTCCTGAATGTCCAGGCTGCCCCCTCTAATCATGCTAACTTGGGGTGAGGTCTCCAAGAGGAAATGGCCCCATAGTTCCCACTAGAGGACCCTGGATTTGAAGAATCCTCCCTCCCACGTTATTTTCTGGAATCTAGAGGTAATCAGTACCACGTCTGTATTCCAGTCATTCTCTCCCAGAAAACGTCATCCCTGTTGACTTATTGAGGTGTAGGGCAGGCGGGTGGAGGCGGGGAGGGGGGAGGGAAAGAAAGTATTGCTTAAAACTCCTTATCATGTCAACTGGAATGTAAAAATACAGCTGCTAGGATGGAAATGAGGGCCGGAATTGCGCTGTAAAGCTCTGCCCCTATTAAAGATGGAGAGAAACCTGCTGCCAAGCTGGGAAGACTCCTTAATGAAGGGAGGCAAGCATTTCGCTAAAGGGGGACTTCAGGCTCCAGAAATAGATAATTAAGAGGGAGCCTAACAGGACTCTGGAGAGAGGATGGAGGGAGGAGTGGGGAGTAGGGGGACAGTGGGCTAGAGCTGTGTGTGTGTGGGGTGGCGGTGAGATGGACTGGGGAGGCCCCTTAGTGATGATGAATTCAGGAAGAAGGGGAGAGACGGTGAGGGAGACAGAAGGACAGGGAGAGAGACAGAGACCACGAGGGACATGGAGACAGGAAGGGAAGGAGATGGCTAGGACAGCGCTCTAGGGATGGGAGACATTGCCCAGATGAGCTCAGGGAGAGAGGCTGCTGGGAAGTCCTGAGGAGGCCATATGGGCAGTTTAGGTTGGAGGTATTCTCAGAAGCCCACCCTAGGGGACCACCAGGCTGGGAGGGGTGGTGGGGAGCTACTCACCGGTCCACCACGAAGGAGGAGGCGTTGTGGCTGATGGAGGCTGAGTGCAGCACCCACCGGCCGCTAGGCAACTCTCTCATCTGTACAGTGTAGTAACGCACAGGGGACAGCCCATCGCTGCCCGGCTCCCAGGACAGGAACACACTGCGAGCCTTCACATCTTCCTGCTGAACCACTGGTTTGCTGGGTGGCTGCGGGCGGTCTGGGGGCAGCAGAGGGAGGCTGGTCAGCGGGACTCAGGCCTGGCACCCCCATCCCAGTTGCATGCACACAGGTGCTTTGGAATCCAGGTGCCTGGAAGGGCAACCTGTGACCAAGAACTGCTGGGAAGAAGACACAGACCCCAGCCTCCTTGTCTTACTTGTGACCGTGCTGATGAGGACTCATCCTGTTCCTGAGGGTGCAGAGCTGAGCCCCTCTTCCCTCTGTGTGACTTGCTTTGCACCTCACCGCCCTGTGTGGCATTATTCTCTCTCCCCTCTCACGTTTCAGCCCTTCTGCAGCATTGTGACACTTAGGCAGGGTCATTGTTTGTGGCGGGGCTATCCTGGCAGCAGCAGCCCTGTCTAAGGCTCCTCCCAAGTTGTGAAAATCACAAATGTCAAAGTAGCAAAATAGACTGTCCTATATGATTGTTTTTCTTGGAGGAGACATTTCTTAATAAATCCTGTCTCAGGCCTGCTTTGGGGAAACACAGTCTCAGGTGAGCTGAAATCTCAGAGCAATGAGGGTCCATGATCCTAGACAGAGCCCTTAACAAGTGGAATGGGACAGAGGGAAGACGGCCACTTGGTGTCTCTATATAGGGTAGCTGTGAGCTAGAATCTACCCGATGGCAGTGGGTTTTGAATGCAGCCAGAGTAAACTCCTCAGGAAGGGAGACCTCCAGCTCAGCTCTGGACACCCCCTGGATCCCTCATGACCTTGGCTTTGTAGTCTGAGCCCAAGAACCATGCGACTTATGGCGAGCCAACCCCTGCCTGGGTTGCTAGGGTGCCCCTTCTGCTACCTTCTGCCCCTGGAGATAGTCACCTCTCTTCTCTGTGGTCACCACCAAGGCCTCGGCGGCCTCTCCCCAGCCCTTGCGAGTCTGCGCCGTGATTCGGAACAGGTAGACAGCCTCAGGCTTGAGCCCAGTGGCGGTGTACTGGCGGGCGCTGGGGGCCAGTACCTCCACGGTGGCAGTGTTGGCTGTGGTGGCATTGAGCCGGTGTGTGATCTGGTAAGCTGCAGGGAGGACAGGAAGCAGGTGATACTAGGAAGTAGGATCGGCTGTCCTTCGAGCCCAGAAATGGAAGGGTGATTTATTAAGAGATGTTTTTCCTTGGACCACTGCCTGCCTGGAGCCCTCTTGGTCAATTCAGGGAGCATGAACCATGTGGGACACAGACAGGTGCTCTGAGCCCCCTAACAAACCTAGGTGAGGACAGGAGGCTGGATGAGGACAGACCACCCTCCTGGTAGGTGGTTGAGTTGGGATTCCAGCTCCCATCTTTGGCCTCTCCACCTCTTCCTCAGAAAGAAGTGGTGGAAGGCATGTCATGTGTCCAGGGCAGGAATTGCAGGACATGGGACTGATGGTCCTGGAGCACAGGTAGTCCAATCCCACTTTTGCAGGTGAGGGGCTGATGTTACTGGGGGGAAGCCCTCTCGCTCAAGTTCACTCCAACTTGGTGTATCTTTTCCTAGTAGGTGGTGGTGGTGATGATGGCAGTAGTGTTGGTAGAGGTAGTGGTGGAGATGGTGGAGGTGGTAGAGGAAGTGGTGGAGGTGATGGAGATTGTGGTGGAGGTAGTGGAGGTAGTGGACATGGAGGTGATGGAGATGGTGGTGGTGGTGATGGTAGAGGTGGTGGTGGAGATGGTGGAGGTGGTAGAGGAAGTGGTGGTGGAGATG